TTTTTTTTTTTTTTTTTTTTTAATTGTAAACGCATCAGTTATTTCCATAACAGCAAACTAAACTAATTAACACAGTTTTTTTTTTTTTTTTGGTCTTTAACATTAATCTATTGTTGTTTTTACATTTGCTGAAACAAACACATAGAAAAACCCACATCATTTATTAGCATTATGTAGTCGTTAGTCAGGCTATCTACAGCTGGCTACGTAGCAAAATCAGCTTGTCAACCACAGCTTTAGACAGCATTGCCATAGCGACATGGTAACATTAAATTGATTTAAAACAGACTTTACCGTTGTGGGACATCCCCACAGACACACACTTTTGGAACCTGCAGTACTGGCATTTGTTTCGATTCTTCTTCAGGATCTTACAGCTGCGTTCACACTTATCATATTCCAGCTTCAGTCTGATGGTCCTCCGAAAGAAACCCTGATTGAGACACACGCACACAAAAATATGCTGATTAGCCATATTTGTATTTAAAAAATAAATAAAAGAAACTATCCTATGCACATTAATACACACACTTAATGTAGCTCTTCCAGCTTCTGCACAGAAAAAAACAAAATAGGTCATTCTTATTCTAATTTTGAGCTTCACCACCTTGAGCTTCAGGTTCGGCTGTTGAAAGCATCAACAAAGGAATGTCTTCAGCTTAAGAGTGTTAAGTAAGATTTGTCTGTCCCAACATCAGGAAAATAAAGCAGTAGAGTCGTAAAAGTTGGATAAAAAAAAAGTTAATGCTCTGGTTTTGTCATTCATTATGTGACATGAAACGAGTTGGATTTATTTGAATTTCTAAAACTCAATGACTTAAATCCCTGCATCATGCTGGAAAACACAGCAACACATAATTATTAAGTTAGAGGAAGATATAAGAATTTCACTGAAAATCTGAAAAGTGTGCTGTATATTTCAGTCTGAAACTCATTTTCTTCCAGAAATGACTTGCAAATCCCAAAATTATCCCCCACAGCAAGATGCTGCCACCACCATGTTTCACTTAACCAAAAAGTTAAAGGATGCATGAACATTTTGCAGACTACGTATCATTCATACGTTTATTAACATTTTTAGACCTTTTAAGACTTAAGAGAATAATAATGTATATTTCTCAATTAGATAATTCCCTTAATAGTTGAGTATGGTAATCACTCTCTGTCATTTTTACCCTTTTTAGTTTCTTTATTGTTATTATCGCAGGGATAGAAATCAAAACCGTAAAAAGCTGTAAACACCAATCTTTCCGAGAAAGCTCCCTGATTGGGCGGGACAGGATACAACCCTCCAACACTCACTCACGGCCCTGAGCCAACACAAGCGAACAGATGTCACACACATGCCAAAACATATGATCCTCTGATTTACTTTCACCCGCACACATCAATGAAACATCAGTCAGAACGCTCTACAACGCTCGCTGTCAAGTAGGGAAAATGAATTTTCTGGCAATATATCCGGAGCCACACGGCCATAAAAATACACCAGCCATCATCCTACGCAGCATTTTGGCTGCATTTATCCTGAGGAGCGCTTTTGGCACATCACTATTAAAGGTTATTATGTGTCACATATCAACATTTTTGTGTCATTTTTAACCAGAACCAGCTGGTTTTGTGGGCGAAATCTTTGTGAATGCTGTTAAAGTGGGGCGACAAAACATAAAGTTCACCATATGATAATCATTAGAGAAGGAGTACAAGACAACAGAGCTGGGGAAGGGAGGATAAATGTGTGGTTGTGCAAATATACATGTCTGTGACTGGGGGAGAACAGAGGAGAGCAGAGGCAAATGCAGAAATTTTACATGTGGAGTAAAAAAAACCCTTAGTGTTCCTCGAGAGTAAATTTCTCTCTAAGTAAAAAGATGTCATTAAAAAGTACATTAACGTTTCAATTTCTAAATCTAACGAGCCTTACCTCAAATTAGTGTAAGTACAAACCACATAGATCCACAATATTAGAGCAGAGAACCCCACTTTCGCTGGGTGGGGTTGAACTCTGACAAATAAAACAATAGAAAGGGCATTCACAGCTAGCATACCGGGATTTTTCCATGATGGCACAACATCGGCCAGAGAAATGTGGGAGCAAAGTGCCACTACAGTTCACCTCTGGTGGGTTCAGGCTCCACGTCACCACACGCCAAATTCGGAGCAGAGGCATTGTGACACGGTGGATTACGTGCCAAAACAAGCAGCTGCTCTGACGACAAGATAAGTGCCGTAGGAGGAGATCCTAAGAGGTGAGTCATAAGACTCCCTTTTAAAGGGAAATGTGCACAGCAACCTCCAAACTAAGCAACCACTAAATCACAGGATCCACTAGTATTACGTCTTTTTATGAGATTTTATTTAAAATCTTCTGTTATTTAAGAGTTCGTGATGCCAAGAGTTGTAAAAAGCTTTGCAGGGCTACTGAAAGAGCCCACAGCATCACAGAACCTCTTTGAACTAAGAAATTAATCAATTAATCGCATTATAAATTAAAATGAGCCTGACAATGTTCATTCTGATGTAGGGGAAAATTTGATTACAGACTTTATAATCTATTTTATTTATGGTTTTGGTGGTGTGTGGTTCTTATTTTCTTTTTAGTTGTTGTGTTTTAGTTTGGATGTTTAAAATATTGTCCAGTTCTGGTGTTGTGTGTTCTTTTAAAATTAAAGTTTAACGGTCTTCGAGAGGGTGAATGTTCATATTACTTGATCATGGTGTGATAACAACATTATGGTTTACCATGATAGTTACTAAGAGATTTTATCGTCTAGCAATATTTGTTGTTGTGACAGGCCCAGACATAACCCTCTGGTTCTTTCCCATTTTGAAGAGTGGTTAACAGAAATGGACGCTTGTGTCAAGTTGTATTAAAACCCGAGGGAAACAGAAACATCATTACAAAAGCAAAAAGTAAAGTCAAATCTATAAAAAAGTCATTTAGGTGCTCTTATTTTGAAGATATGTAAAGTTTTGCTGTACATCTTTATGCTATGCTTTACATAGCATAAAACAAAATGAAAAAAGTGTTATAGCTTAATGTGTTTTTCCCCCTGAATAACTGTGATCAAATCAAAATTAATAATTTTGCCTCTCTAATGGAAGAATACATTATTTCAAAATATCTTAACCATTGTATTTGTCTTTCTGTCTCTCTTGTTTCAAGTTGGTTTAAGTGTAAATTTAACATTAAATTACAACCCACAGAAAAATCTTATTTTACTAACTATGTTCCTTTTGTTTTGCTGAAACCCTCAAGATAAAAGTTTAAAAGGACATGAAAGAACAGCACACGAAGATTTGGGTCAAAAACGACAAATAGCCTGTTTTTGTTTTCCTCTGGGTTTTGCTCGACGACAAAGTCACACGACCAGACAAACACTGCGGTGTTTATCCGCACCGGTTTCAACATACTCGCACAGGGATCTAGTGACTGCAGCTCAAGGTCTGCCACACACACAACGTTCTCTGTGCTGAAGCTTATTAAATGATCACACTTAGGCATCCATGCTGAGCTAAACTATCAACGCTGAAGACTGCTCTCCATGTGTGTGAGAGAGGCGACAAGTGAACCGAGGGCGCCACGTCACCCACCTCACATGACCCGGCAGCCTGCACACCTCGGAAACTTTCCACTCGGCCTGGAGGTCATACACCTCTGCAGGACGGGTCTGGCATGCGTTTGGATGATGCATGCCGTCGGCCAGTCTTGTTTGCGTGCGTGTACAAACGCTTGCACGTTTCCCCCTCCCGACCCAAAAGCAGTTCACTGAAACTGGTGTCACTATGTGGCTGTAAAGTTCCCGTTCGTCTTACCTTGCAGCCCTCACATGCATGCACTCCATAGTGAAAGCCTGAAGCTTTGTCTGTGCACACCCTGCACTCGAGATTAAGGGGGCTGCTGTCCTCGTCTGGACAAAGCGATGCGCCGCACTCCCCAGGCAAAGGACTGGAGGCCGGAGTCAGAGTATCTGCAGAAGACAGAAGACAAAAGAAATGATTGTAGTAGAGAATACAGGCCTTAAAAAGAGTTTTTAAGGAGAATATCATTGAAATTGTACCTTTCAAGGAATTAATATACACCTTTCTCATGAAAATTAAAGAAACATCCAGTTAGCATAGCATTAACTTACTATATTTATTTTAACTTAAGCTCACAATTTGGCATTTGGATTTAGAATTATTAAGTTTGATGCTTCATTACCACCTGCTGTCTTTCCAATAGTAAACTAAACTTTACTATTCTTTCCATTGACCTAATCTCTCTGGCTTTGTACAATGTTAGCTTTAAGGTTAGCATAAAAGTCTTGGTGTGCTCCATCTGAGTTTCAAGTTTCAAGACGAACTAATGTGTCCTGGAGCCTCAATTTCAATTTGAAATGTTGTGGGTACCCCAAAAAACAGAGCTTAGCTTAGCTTTAGCTTGTTTTCCTTTTTTCTAAAAGAATTATGTCACCATTAGGCACCCCTCTGGTAATATATATATATATATATATATATATATATATAATTAGATTTTATTATGTCCTAAACTGAAAAAAAAAAGGAAATAACTGATTTATCTATTGTTATTTTTTCAGCGGTTACACTATAAGCACATGTGGACAGTGCCTGAAGAAGGAGATCATAAAACAACATAACCACTTCAAACCGGTCGATGATAATGTTTTGAAATTTTAAGACAAGACTGTGCCCACATTTGAAAAAATAAAACATGTTTAAATCACTTTGGAGTTGCTTTGCTATATCTACAACCTAGTATACCATCTGCACCTGAATGTAGCCTGGCAGCTATTGTGAAAATCCTCAAAAATTAACTGGAATGCCTTTAGAAACTGAAATTGTAGAGAGCAAAGATAAAGGTGGGTGAATCTGAAATGATAATTAACCTGGTCTCAGACAAACGATTAGCTGTTCCTGCTGGTTTTTGATGTGAAAAGCGTAACGCTTTTGAGTTTGGTATTGGAACTTTGTAGAAATACCAAACTACGGTCCTAAAACAAAAGGTACAAGGTCCATCAATACAGATTATCAGTCCTGAAATTATGCTCATTAACTTCCTTTGGGCATTGGTTCAGTGCCATTACTTACCCAATGGGATGGAGCTGCTGGGCCCAGAACCAATGGCTTGATACTCTGGAAAATCAAATCCCAGTGAGTTGTCTTCTATTGACTGGGAAAAGTCAGGAAGATTCTCTATCAGGTCTCCACACAGCGGACTGTCCAGGAGGGATTCCCCAAGAGGCGATGGGGGGCTGTAGAGTTCGGCGGCCATGTTGAAGATCGGGGATCCAAACTTATAGGGATTACCCATCACTCTCCAGACTGTAACAGAACGGCAGGGAAGGCAAGGTTAAACAAGATCCTTAATCAAAAATGGCTGCATTTTAAACCACCGGTTGGACAACTTTAGGAGGATTAACCTCCCAACTGAAGCAAATGCTGGTAGTAGAGGTCTAGTAAGACTAACATGGATGTAAGAACCCAGGTGAACCCATGTTCATGGGACGTATATACATACAGCAGTATAAACAGAATGGATATTTTGATCTTGTGAAGATTAGAGAAAATTCTCAACTGAATTTTTGTTGTATAAGACAGTACTGGTTTTTCTGGCAATGCGGGGTTAAATAACAATGCTTTCAGTTAATAAAATGTTATGGTTTGCTGACGTGAGTCAACACCTCATTATGTAGTCATTCATTTATGTTCTTTACCTGCCTAATCTTGTTCAGGATCTCAAATGATCTGGTCTTTCTCTTGTTTGAATAACATGCTAACTTCCTGTATTACTGGTCCATCTTACTGTATTCACAGAGCAATATAATTTGGACTGAAATCTACAGAAAAATTGTAGCTCACATATCTGAACAAACATTTCACAAACTAATGCTGGAACACGTTGCCTCTTTGGACTCTCGTGTCGAGACGCTGACAACGTGATTGATCAACACAGGCTTGTTCTTGTTTATCTAGTCTGTGTTGCGGCATTTCAGAAGACAAGTCCTGACAGATCGCTACATTTGGGTGACGTTAGAATGAAAGTGTGTCTGTGAACATAGAGCGTCATAGAATATATGAAGCACAGAGCATATGGTGAAACCGTGAGACAGCTGTTGGTCAGTAAAGAGGCTTTGATGTGAAGAATCTGCCCTCTGACTGACTGAGGCCTCAGACTGTCAGCACACATTTCCCAATGGCTACGTCTGGAAGCAAGTTCACAAAGTTTGTTTTATTTGTGGCATGTTTGGCCATCCTTACCGTTAGTCAATTATCAAAGCTTATTATTTCTTGAAAGGAGGTAGGGATTTGAGGAAAACACCATTTTTGGATCTTAAATAACCAATATTTGCCCTAGATGAAAGATGACGAACAGCATTGCTACACTATTCTGTACTAACCAATATTAAAGTGCCCTGCAGAGGACAGTGGGGGGAGTTAAGGGTCACTGGAATATTTGTATTTTTGTACACAATATTTCTGTTTACAATGTGGAACAGGATGTTTTGCACTAAACATACAATATTTCATACTTTTATAGCTTTGGTTGTTTAATATCAGATTTTTTTAAGGAGACATATGCGGGACAACCTTTGTTGCCGACAACTTGTCAATTTACTCACCATTTTATTTTAGTTTGATCAGTGGTTGTAATCATTAAAAAAATCGGATTAAGGTGCAAAATTATGAGATTTTCTCAATTTCTTATGTCTTCATGAAAACACTTCACTGCATGTAAATAGGAAGACACAAAAACTACAAAGTTAAAGTAAAACAAGTCGACTCTATTCTTTAATAAGGCTTTGAACATCAATTTACTTGATCAGTTTATATCTGCTTAATATAGATTTCTTGTTTCATCTGTTTTGTCTTGGAACAACACAGTGTTGCTTTGTTGCATGCTACTTGATGAATCCTATTTTATTTCTAAAAACGGTGAGTAAAGGTCAACATCTTCAACGTTTCTCTGCAACGTTTCACTGGCTGAGTGAAACAATTCACTGGCTGAGTTTCGACCATGCTGAGTGACTATACTTCCCTTTCTCTGGATGACTCCGGCCCATGCCCCTAACGTTCCCCCATCACCTCAGAAAGCCATTGTGTTTTACCTCCCCTGAGGAACACCAATCCCACTGTGATCTATCTTTAGAGCCACAGAAGTGGAAACAGAAGCTGTGGTGTGTGACGCCTGCTACACTCAACAAAGCATGTTACCAGATGACACAAAGGATACTGACAAGAACAGAACCTATATGATCTTGATTTATCCTAAATGCAGTCTTTTATATATTTTGATTATTTTAAGAGTAATAAAGAGTAAGTTGGAGGGTTTACAACTACATCAGAAACTCTAAGGCAAAACGTTTTGGTGTAAATTAGCAGCAAAGTTGAAAATCTACAAGAATCAGGCTTACTAGTCTAAAATCACAACCAGTTTAATAATTAAATTAATAAATTACCTGAGCCGCTGCCACTCGAAGCATTTCCAGATTATGTTGAAAGTCTGTCGGAGACCAGATGAGAGAGGGAGGGAGGTGTTTTGGTCCTGTGACCGGATCCGTCAGGACCTTGACGCGTCACCTCTTCCTCCTCCCTCCGCTGTCAAAAGCTGCGGTTCTCCTCCCCAGGAAACGCCCCTTGACACACCTATAGATCTAACCAATCAGATCGAGCGAATGAAAAAGCAGACATCGCTGATTGGATCTGTCCGCAGTTACAAATTTAATAGAATATGATCTATGCGCGTAATTAAGCGTAGCAGAGACAGATCTATGGAGAACCAAGACTGCCACAATTCAATAAAATGGATAAATAGTTTTAGTAAAACTGGAAATGAATGCAGTAAAACCTATGGAGTGCCCAAAGTGCAGCAATTCAATATAATACATAAGTAGTTTTAATAAAACTGGAAATTAATGCACTGAAAATATGGAATGACAAAAGTGCCTAAATTTAACAAACACATAATTACTTTAATTTAATTAACTAAAATTACAAGTCAATCCATTACATTATAAATTAGTTCATTTGAATAATAATTCACAAAACCCTACAAACTCATTTTTGATAAGGTATGGTTACCATGTTGCCTAAATTATGGAGGACCAAAAATGCCACAGTTAAATTAAATAAACTATACGTTTCTGACAGAATTTAAATACGTAAATAATTTATGGAGGGCAAAACCCCGAATAATTGCTCAGTGACTTATTATTCTTTAAAAAAAGAGCAAAAGAAGAAAAAGAAAAACAAGAGGAAAATCCAATTAATAATTAGACAAAGTATGCATAAGTACTCAAATATTGTAATTATTTATGGAGGGAGGGACTAAACTGTACAGTTGAATAAATTATTGTGTATAAATGTTAGAATTTAAATAAAATTGTAAATTAATAAATCTGTGTATTATCATTTAAAGTTGTACATTTATGGAAGTCCAGTAGTGTCAACTTAGTTAATTCAATTAAAACTGGTTATGGAAACATTAAACGATCAAGTCATTTTAAAGTAATTGGATAAATACATAATTTAAAATATTGTTTTGACTACATTTGAAGCATATTTTATTCAAATATTTATTCATATTTTTTTGTTCTGCAGTGGAGCATGAGATGATGAAATTTGTCACTCTGGCTAGTCAGAACAGTCAAATCTCCACTGGAAGTCCACTTTGAAACAATTATCTTTTAATTAAATAGCAACATTTTTTTAAAAAAAATATTAATGCTTACATAAAATATAGCATATTTATAATATATTGTAATTTGAGCAACTGATTTCAAAATTATAATTCAATAATTATCATTTCTTGCCAACAATGGTTTTGGTTAAAAGAAGAAGAAAAAGGAAAACAAATCACTTTTGACAAACAATGGCATAAACAATCATTTTTAGGAAGGTGATATTTACATATCTTGGATAGTGACACTTTTGGCCTTCCATACTTGCAAAGCAATTTTCGCCACTTGAACAATATTCCTATAATTTGTAATTGTCACTATTCTCCTGATAGTTCCAACTTTTATGCCATTAGTGTTAGATTCATTAAGCAAAATCATTAGTGCAGATGACCAGGACTCACTGGAAATGCCCTCCCAACACGGACAGTGTCTGGCGCCATCTACTGTGAAAGAATGCATGGCAACGATTCAAATGTGTCCTCATCCCATCCTGGGATTTAAACTGCAAACCTTTTGGCTGTCATCTTTTCCTGTTGACTTCCAAACTCCTGCTAGGCAGCTTGGTGAGTTTTAGACAAAGAGGTGGGTGTTTCTGTCTGTGCTTTGTTTTTTACGGCGACACTCTGCTCAGGTTCTGAACAAATCGGAGGATTTATTTTAAGCTTTAAATCCAGATATGATCTTTTAGTAAAATATGTAAAATCCCATCTTGAAAGTTTGACTTTTCATCCTTATCTTTGACCCTGGAAATAATTGTAATAATAATTTTTTTTTTTTTTTTAAAAAGACAGATGAGGAGATAAGCTTCAGAAGCCTCTTAGATACTGTGAGTGTTTTGTTATATAATGAGCTACTTAAAAGGGATTACATGCCAGGATTTCAAGGAGAAAATATTTCAATAATTAGCTTTGGTGTAGAAAGAAGACCCGACTTCAATCATTTTTTTGCAGTTATATCTTTATTTAATTAAGAAGGAAATACATGGCGAATCAATGAATAAACCAAGCGTACAGTTTTTTGTACAGTCTGTACAAGGAGTCATGTTTCAGCGAAAACGCCTGCTGAAGCAGCATCACTTACCCATTCAGAGACGAGTTTGAAACTGAATACCAGTCATGTGCCAAGTGTTTTAAGGGTCATTAGAAAGATGATAAAGAGGTTTGCGCTCCTGTGATGTATTGCTGCCCTCCAGGGAAGGCAGTAGGTTGTATAGTTAGCTCCTGATGGGGCAAAATCACAACCCTGAAACCACACAACCTACTACCTCACCCTGTGCGAACACCATGAGTCTCAAGTCAAAAGAAGACGTGAAGCACAACTACCAAAAGGGAAGAAAACTACAAAAATATCGATGCATTTAAACAGAAGACTATGATTAAAAATTTGAAACATTACACTGTGAGAGGGAATAACATGACTAAACACTGCTGTTCGATATATTTCTGTACTTAAAAATAACATTTAATTTCTTATTATAAAGGCTTACTTTGATATAAAATTATTTGTTGTAAGTTAACATTAGAATTAATGTTTGTTTTCAACCTATGTCATAATGTAATTGCAATTATGGCGCCAAACAGGCTAGGACCGCCTCTGCTTGTTAATGAGTTAAAAAATATACAACAGGATGCACACAGATTATCACATTAAAAAAACATCGGATGTTCCTGTAAATCTGCAGGACGTCTCGGTGTGTCATGACAACGCAGCCATCACAGTCACTTCAGGAAAGACAGTAAGTTGTATAGTCATCTGACAGCTTGGGAATGACCCTAAAACTATACAACCTACTACCTCACCCCAAAGGACAGTTTGTCTCTTGCTGCTGCCACTTGTAAATCCTCTGCAGTTTAACCTGTGGAAACAGCAACTTAAAACAACTGACAGACGTACACAAGATAAATTTGACTAATTTTAACCATTAGTTACAGGCAGGCACGGGCCGGCATTTGGGTGTCCTCTAAAATTCATCATTCATATTGCTGTCCTAGCTGGATTTGGCATAGAGTAGCGCTGATTTGTTTCTAATTGTTGCTGCACACTGCTGTTCAGCTGCACTTTTTTCCATGCTTAAAGGAACATAAGACAACAATCCCAATCGTAAAAAACCCACCAACAGATTCATAATGTGGAAAATAAAGAATCAATCAATTAATGTTCTCAAATTACTAGCAGTATCTTTGCTAAGTAGCCAAATGTAGGTCAGCTGCAAGATGCCCTGCTAAATAGAACTTAAACATGAGAACTTTAATAATCAATTATTTTTCCAGCAATTGGAGTAATTTTTTCATTTAATTCTTGCCAAAGCTTATGCATTTTCATTATATTTTTAAGTAAATACGCTGAAATCCTCAAAATTTAGCAGATTGTTAAAATTTCCTATTTTCACCTAAGTTCACTTAATTTATTACCCATCTTATATTTTGAACCCAGAGTCCATATCAACACAATATAAACAAGAAAAATTATATTTCCAAAGTTGTTAAAGGTGTTTTTTTTCTCCCCTCATTAATCTGATTATATCAGCAGTGTTTGTTCCATGCTTGAACTGGTTAATGTGAAGATGTTTTCCCTTTTTTTCCCCCATCCCTGAGTCAAGAGTGTAATTTAACACAGCTGTCTACTTCCTGCACGTCACTTGGAGTTTTTCAGGTCACTTCCCCTCCACAGTGTCAGGTCTGAGCGCTCCATCAGCTCACCTCGTCTCTGGTTTCCTCAACCTGAAGCTGACAAACGAGAGGAGAGAGTGAGCTGCTGTCGGCTTGATTCCAGACTTTCGCTTCCTATCTGAGGCGGGAGCGCTAACGTGGCCGCCTGCACACGCCGAGGTGAATCCAAGGGTTCGGATGTTTCCACACTTCACGCACGTGAACGATCTGAGTACGAAGTTTATAAAAGTGAACATCTTGTTGGTGACTAGCCTGGGGGGGGAAATCTGTGGGAAAATACTCAAAACAAGTTGATGGAGCAGATGGGTATAAATATGCATTTCTGAATGTGCATGAGAGGTCACACTGACAGGTTGTGGTGGTTTCAGGGAATTTCCTGAGTGAGAAAGGGCTCCGAGGCTGTGGCTCCGCTGAGGTTTCCCCCTTCAAGTTGACGAGCGACAGGAGACTGAGGCAGGGTCGAACTTATAAAAGTGACTCACTGCATTAACTCCTCTCTCGCGCACACGCATGCACCAGGTTGCGGCTGTTTTATAGCAGGTTCAGTTATCCCATAAATGCCACCCAAATCCCCTGAATGAGCCACTTAACGTCCGAGCCCTGTGAGGTGCACAACGGACCCGAGCGTTTCACTGCCGAGCTCGGATGCTGTCGCGCAGCACCGTTTTTATCCGATAATGCAAAGGCCGAAAGATTGAAGGAGAAACAAAAAAGAAAAATTAAGAAAAAAAGAAATTAAAATCTTAAAAATATGACATTTGTAGTTCTTCTTGTAGAACGAAAAAATCCTGCTGAAAACTGTAACTTTGAATTATTGTTTCAAAGTATAGTTACTTCAAAAAGCTATAGTACACTGATGTGATTCATTAGGAAGTTTAAAAAAAATCAAACAAAAATAAACATTTTGCACATCTGCATAAAAATGATGTGGGTTGAAAGTGTTTGCATAGTAGCAGGGGGGTTTTTCTCTGCAAAAAAGAAACAACATGAGGCTGGAGTTGGTTTCTAATTTGTCACTCTATTAAAGGGCACAGTATTACAAAAAAAAAAAAATCCAGAAAAAACTGTGCTAAAGGCGTTTTTCACTGCTTCTTAGTATTGATACCAACTCAGATTTGTTCCCTTTTAATGCTCAGAGATTCTTTAAGGAAGTTTGTAAAGTTATCTAGAGATGAAAAGGCAGTAAAATTGACCTTTATTGACAATAATGTTAAAACTGGAGATAAACCTTTCAGTCGGTCAAAGATTATAATCTGCCCGTTTCTCCTTGATCTGCTCTAATTGCTGATCAGCAGCTCAAATTCCAGGAAAATTTTTTTTTAATTCTTCAAATTCTAAGAATCTAAAATCTCCAACAATCTTCAGTCCATAAACGCATCGAGCAATCGCTTCAATTTAATGCTTGGGTGATAACGTCAGGTATGTGAGGGACATAATTACAATTTCCTTTTATCATATATATCATATTTTATCAGTGAACATTTGTAATACTCTGCACGTGTTATAGACTTGAAAACCTGCCAGAAGATAACGTCCACTTCAGAAATAAACAACGTAATGAGTTCGACTTGTTTGTTGTTAGAAAATGGAATAAAGAAGAACATTTTCTCTGCTCAGTTCTGTTTTTCTAATACTTGCTCCTTTTTAAAAAAAATCCTCTAAATGCACACTTAAACTTGGGGAATTAAAAACAAAAACAAACCCTTTGGAGCCAAAGTTGTTAATGGGATTGACTGAATGAAATTGTCACAAGGTTGTTAAAAGCTTAAAGTTTTGAGCATCGTGAAGACTTTCTAATCGCTCTGCGTGCAGTTGACCCAAACCGCCAACAGGTGTCATGTCTCCCCAAGAATGTAAAGGGGAGTCTGTGCAGAGCAGCGGCGCTCGCTCACAATGAGGCCTTTGTGCAGTTCCGGGGTGCAGGCCAGCGTGCACTCGTGTACAGTTTCCCTCTAATCTTCATTTGACCTTTAGGCTGAAGGCTTTTCTTTCCCCCTTTTCTCCCCCACGACTAATTTCCCTCCAGGAGATTATCTTGATGCTGCTGCACATGCTTACCAATACATACCGACTTTGACGAGTCGCTCGCTGTTGTGCGCCGCGAGCGACTTTGTTCAGCAAATTAAAGGCAAACTGGAAGTTGTGTTTGTATGCCTGTAGGCAGCTCAGAGCAAAAAAAAAAACCTAAATAATGCAAATTTGCAAACTTCAGTGAAGCCAAGAGGCTATCAGGAATCTGACAATTCAGCAACACACACACACACACACACACACACACACACACACACACACACACACACACACACACACACACATATAAATGAATGTGACAACTAAGCTCCCAGCTTCAGAAGAGCAATAAATTTTTAGAAAAATACGTTCAACTAACCTCAATTTTGACTTCCAGCCAGAAAAAATTGAGTAACTCCTAAATAATGAGCCTGTGAATGAAAGAGAAGAGTGGAAATAAATACACAGTCTACACACACACACACACACACACACACACATACACAGTAATAAACACTGGGCTTTCAAAGCATTTATACAAAATCACATAAATATGATGGCACAGACACACACACACAGCAAGGTGTGTCTGTTGTCAATAGTGCTGATGGTACATATGTTACAGAGATCAGCATGATGCAGCTGAATTTAGACTGGAAGGCTTTATTACTGCACTGTGGACTGGCCAGTGTTAAGAAGCCTTATAATTATCTCCCATTCCAGAAAATTTCCTCTGTAGCAGCAGAATGACTTTAAATCCTGACTACTTAAAAAAGAAAAAAGTTATTTAAATTATTTTCTAGGATGTGGTTTATGTTTTAAAAAACGACAGCAGTAATAAATGTGTCTTAAAATAGATTTTAAAAAAGCAGCAGGCATTGATAATACAGGCTTTTTTCATAGATTTTTAGTTTTATATATTGTGTCAGAAAATAATTAGATGTACACATAAATCTGTATCTCTCTCACACACACACCCACACACACAAGCATTACTCTTTAAAACATCTTTTAAAATATAAAATCACATACAAATTTTTATATTACTATAATATTATATTTTATATTTGATTTTACATTATATAATGTAAAATAAAAATACACAACCATTTGAAATAAATTTCAGTGAAGGAAACACATACACACACACTAATGTACATATATGTATATATGTGTATATAATATAATATACACACATATTATATATACACACACAAATATATAATATATGCATATTATATATATATATATATATATATATATATATATATATAATATATAATATATACATACACATATATATATTTACACATATGTACAAATATACATATATATAATACAGACGCACACACACACATATTATATATATATATATATATATATATATATATATATATATATATATATATATATATATATATATATATATATATATATATATATAT